ACCAGTTTTTATTTTACTGGTGTTGAGCAGAAGTCTTTAAGTTAGTAAACTGTACTACTTTATCAAATCTAAGGTAAACTTGTGTTTCAGTAGCAAGATTTAAATTTAGATGATAAACTTGCTCTTAAAAGAACCGTGTACTCTTTCCAAATTTACAAACACAAAGTAAAAAGGTTTTACTTTGGGGAGAAAATCTGTAGGGATTCGAACTTTGCTATATAAAAACTTTGGGGGGAGTCCACAGAGGACCGTCTATCATAAATTATAAAAATAAGAGAGATGTTCGAGATAGACCTGTACTTGGCAAATCTGTTTACTTATAAGTTTCTTTTTGTATAGGTCTCTATTGGAAATTGTATTCTGATCTTAGGTTCAGTTGAACAAACATCTTGTGAGAGCTCTTGGTGAGCTAGGCATTGAGGTAGGCCTTAGAGGTATGAAATGGTCAAAATGTGATCACTGATTTCCCAAACAGATAAGCACAACACAGGTAAGTGCAGTGTAAGGAGTCCAGGTCAGGGTGCAGTGCAAGCCCCATACAAGGAAACTTCACTCAGAATGTGGAAGTGGGGAGAGGAGAGGTAAAAGTGGGRATGGTTACTTGGAAGAGGTTCTTATGAGTTTAAACAAAACTAAATCTTCATTCCATTAAAAACAAATGTAGGACAAAGATTATTTAAAGCAAATATTAAAATTTTAAAAAGATTTCCATCTTCTAATCTAATGAATGAAACAAATGATAGATATTTCTGAAGTTAAAGCAGGTATTTGATTCTTACTCAGATCTTCAGATTCTACTAAATAAAATCCTTGAGATTTACTGAGACTTATGCCAAAGTATATTTTCAAACTCAGATTAAATTTACCATGTTCATAACTTCCAGGAAAGTGCTAGATTGGATGCTTAACATAGAACACTAATAGAAATACAGCAGAAGCCAGGCAGTCTCCCTGTCCTTTTAGAAGTAATTCTGTAGAATTTCATCCAAGCTGTAGATCAGATGAGTTTTCATTTGCATATGCTTTCTGTGCAGTCAGTGCAGTTGGCTTAGGCACAGACTATCCCAGTTTCCACTTCCTTCCAGCTGATTTGGCTATAACTCTGGATGTCAGTGAAAGTTACATGATGACTTCTCTTGCTGGCCACTTGAATTGCCAGGGTATTTGCAACTACTTTTACCTCTGATATTGTCTTCAAAGTCCATTTTATAAAAATACAACTATTTTTTTGTGGGGAGGTGGGGCTTGTAGATGCTAGGCAAGCACTCTACCACTGAGCTACATCCCCAGCTCACAAAAATGGTTTTTAGAAGTTCTTGAGTTCTCTTGTCCCTAACTGGTAATGCACTGAGAGGAAATGATGTCAGAGATTTCTAACAGAGATTCTATTAAGATGAGCATCAATTCCCAGAACCTCCATGGTAAAAGAGATTTTTGATAACCATTTAGTTAAATCCCTTCATTTTAACACTGAGAAAATAAGGCCCAATAAAGCCAAATATCCAACAGCAAGGTACTGTGGTGCCAGGATAGAGGGCCTTAGCTTCCATCTTCCCAATTTGGGGTCCCTTACAACTTAAATTTTAATATAGCTACAGATCTCTTGGGAATGTTGATAAAATGAAGGATCCTCCCTGGTAATTCTGGACTGGGACCTGAGTTTCTACATTTCTAATAGAGGAGATGCTAATGCTATTTATTCATGGACCACACTTTGAATAATCGTAGGGCTTTCTAACACTAGGAAATAATTTTAAAAATTCATCCTTTAAGTGAAGATAAACATGGGCAAAAGGATTGTTCTGTTTCACATATAGCTGATAATTCAAAAAATAATTTTGATACCTTAAGTTGCTCTAGTGTTATTATATCAAGTAATCTGTAGGATCTTATACTGGGGTCAACTGCCCGCCCACGATGCTTATTTCCTAGCAAACATGTTATACTTTCATAACAATCAGAGAATTGATGGGTAAGATTTTTGACCCATTTATGTAGTGCCGTATGTTCTCTAATCATATAAGATGCCTAAGTGACGATTTCCTAGTAAATGTATTCCTTCTGTTAAAGAACTTAGGATTCCTTGGCTATTTGTTCATTTCATGATCCTTAAATAAGGATCTTTCTTTTCCTTTTCTTCTTTGTTCCTTTCTCTTTCTCTTTTCTTTTTTCTTTTCTTTCTGGGGATTGAGCTTAGGACCTTATACATGCTAGGCAAACACTCTAACATTGGGCTGTACCCAGACCCCTGATTTATTTATTTTTTTCTTTTTTTTTGGTGACAGTGTCTCACTAAATTGCCAAGGGTGACCTTGAACGTGGGATCTTCCTGCCTCAGACTCCTTTGTAGCTGGAATTACAGTCATGTGCCACTATACCCAGCTAAATAAGGATATTTCTCACCCCACCTGAATATAACCTCTCTCTCTCTCTCTTCCTGTCTCTATCTTGATCTTTCTGTCTCTCTCACACATGCATATACACAGAGTATTCATATATTTAACACCACGTTATTTATAGAAAACAAGTAGATTATTGTGTGCTCATTATGAGAATTTAAATTTTTATGAAGAATGAAATCAGGTAAGATGAAATGGTTATTATAGATTATATCCTTAATTATGGAATTGCCTACTGAGGTATAGAGTATATCTATATGGATTTATAATCTTGGTTCACAAACAAAACAACCCTATTTTCTCTAGAAATTATTTGTCAAATAAGTTATATGGAAAATTTTCCATATATTTTTCTTATATATCTGTGTAGACATTCTTATTAAAGCTTGGAAGATGACATCTTTATGAGAAATAACCCTACCTCACAGGTGGTAGTTCTTATTCATATAGTTCTCTAAGTAGCTCCTTCTCTATTTTCTGCAGCAAAATTATTCTAAGTGAGAATAATCAGTTCACTTATATATAAGTGTTCTAAAGAGTTCAAAGGGGTTCTACCAATATAAAATGTTTGTTGTTTACTCTTACTGATATTATTGTTAGTTTTCATAATTATACCACACAAGTTCTCATGGGGCAAAAAATCTGGCACTGATACTTGTTATTTACATGTACCAAATTATGTAGTAACTTTCTTAGTATTGAGTTTGGCTTGACAGGAAAGTAAATTACGCCTGTATTAGTAAAACTAAATAGTTTTATTCACATCTCTTTGAGGCCAAGATGATAGTGTTCATTCTTATTTACTCTGGAAAAGAAGAGATTGTATTAAAAAAAATCACTAGGTATGTGCTTTCAGAGTTAAATTATATTAGGTGCTTTGCAATGATGGTTATGATGAATGATTAAAAATTATAACTATGGGTGTTGAACATTTAAATAAAGATTGTTTCCACCAGTAAGTTGTATATTTGCTTCATAGAATCCTTCAATCAGCTTATTTACCAGAGTATGATATTGGGTAAAGTGCATACAATTTAAAATCCTTTAGATACTAAAATAATAGTCACAAACAGAATAAATAAAAAGGATTCTCATATCTAAATCTAGCTCCATTGCATGGCCTTAAGAACAGTTTAATATCAAGATCCTAGAAATTTGATAGGTAAATGTATTAGTGGAATAAAATATAAATTTTATATAATTTCAAAATAGTTTTACCTTAAATGCAAGAAGAATATCTATTAAATACTTTTGTAGAAAAAAAAAAACTTCTAAATTTTAAGGTGTATCTTTCATTTGGGACAATTAAGTGAAGTTTTTAGTAATAAAAATCTCCTGCTATCTGTCTTGTAACAATAAAAATGAGATTAATTTGTAATATTTTCTATAAACCGTGATTACTGGCAAGTTTTTCTTATCAGGAATCAAGTTAGACGATAAAATTGTTCAACACCTATTGTGTAACCATTTATGTTACAATTTAGAAAACAGCTATAAAATAATGGGAAAACTGGGTGTGCACAGCATAAAAAGCTCAAGATCCCTTGATAAGAAAAACCATGGGCAGATCCATGAAGGAAGCAGTTACCAAAGCCAGTGCTTTAACATGAAAAGAATCAGTGCTCACATTAAGAAGGAAAAAGAGACGTGTCCCTCCTTGCCACCCTGTTCAGCTTAAACTAGTTAAATTTCACTCGAGTTAAATTTCAGTTAACTGATCTTTGGAAGAATGCAGCAAACCACCAAAATTGGTGACCCACAGTTTTCATGAGGCGTGGTCTTCTCAATGTTGTGCTGTTTCTTTTCTTTATGTTGTTCAGTACCAGGTTGTTTTTAGGAGTCTCCATATTCCGTAGGAGGAAAATTGCCAGTCTGAAAGTTCAGTGTCTTTAGCGTTCTATTGCTTATCACATTTTTGCCCTCTAGGTGCCAACCTGGATTCACTGGAGCAAGATGTACTGAGAATGTGCCCATGAAAGTCCAAAACCAAGAAAGTATGTTAAAATAATCTGAAATTTGCTTTCTCCCCCAAAACTACAGCAACAATCACTACCACTTGGTGCTTTTACAGCTCAGTTGTAACTGACTCCTTTTGTTCTCATTATGGTTTGTCCACTCAAGGCATAAACCCACTCACTATGATATTTAGCTCTCTCTCTCCACATAAGTCCCAAAGTCATAAATGTAAAACAGTGGTCAGTTGGGATGGTCTGTGACATTGGCAATCGATGACAGTAAGCCAATGGAAAAAAAAGAATTCCTCCCAACATCTTTGTCCAAAGCTATCAAATAAAAAAAAAACTGAGATGAATCAAACATTAGATTTTAATTTTAAGTGGCTCCCTTTGAAAGAAAGAAGTCACTTAAAATGCTGGGATCTTTTCATCAGATGAACTTGAGAACTACGTTTTGTTCAAAATTTTAACCATTTAGGGGAAATGCCGGAGTCTGAAAGCCATGATAAGGACGAAGATTCAGTTCCTGAGGGTGAACTCACCAAGTTCAGTCAAATGTCACAGAAGGAGCTTCTTTCTAGCATATATTCACCTCTTCTCTTTTTCTCTGTTTTTTTCTACCATTGTTTTTTGTTTCTTCTCTCAGGTGCCCAAATGAGTTTACTGGTGATCGCTGCCAAAACTACGTAATGGCCAGCTTCTACAGTACGTCCACTCCCTTTCTGTCTCTGCCTGAATAGGAGCATGCTCAGTCGGTGCTGCTTTCTTGTTGCTGCATCTCCCCTCAGATTTCACCTAGAGCTAGATGCGTTTTACCAGGTCTAATATTGACTGCCTCTGCCTGTCGCATGAGAACATTAACAAAAGCGATTGTATTACTTCCTCTGTTYGTGACTAGTTGGCTCTGAGATACTAATAGGTGTGTGAGGCTCCGGATGTTTCTGAAATTGATATTGCATAATGTGATACAAATTGATAGTCAATATCGAGCAGTGAAATTATAATAAAGGCATTTAAAAGTCTCACTTTTATTGATAAAATAAAATCATTGCACTGAACAGTCCATCTTCTGTATACCATGTCAACATCCTGAAAAGGCTGTTGCTAAGCTGTAACCAATATGCACTCAAAATGATGGTAAGTTAATTTTGGTTCTGAGTGTGTTATTTATACCAAATAAACATCATCAAAAGAGTTCAGATGTTTTTCTTCATTAACCAAACAGTTTGCATGTAGGCATTAAAAAAGAAAAGCACTGAGTAGGAAAATTAAAAGCAAACATTTCAACACGAATGGAATATCCTGCCTTCTATTTATGTTGCTTAGGGAACAAGTCATTCAGAACTAGTTTAAAGAACCATTTTATGTTAGCATTTCTTTATATTAGCATGTCTTCATGTTAGTTTCAAAGGTAAACTGAGGGAGCAATAGTTATTATTTTTTAAATGTGTTACTTTGAAATATAACAGTTTAACTCTAGAATATATATATATATATATATATATATATATATATATATATATTTAATGCAGAACAGGAAAATCACAATGAGTTTTTTATGACTTCATGATGTTTGGAAAATTATTCCTAAAATACCCAATTCACATTGTGTATAATTGCACGTATAATTAACTTAGGTATTTGTCCTTTTGTTGTGAACTGGGATTACAGTTTTAAGTTCTGTAACTTTCAAAACAATGTATTTGACATAGATCCATTTTTTGGTTATTCATTTAGGTCRAGGGTTGGTAGTTTTTCTGTATTGTCCAAATATTTTAGGGTTTGTGGTAATCTCATCATTATCACAGCTTCAGAACTCTACCACCGTAGCATGAAACCAGCCACAAATAATGCATGGACTTACATGCATGGCTGTGTTCCATTAAAACTTTGTTTACAGAAGCAGGCAGTGGGCTGGAATTGGTAACCCCTGTTTTGCCACTTCCTGTAAATTGCTCACCCTGAAAAATATGTCATAGATTATTGCAGTTTAAATTCATATAACATAAGAAACAAGCTGGTCACTTGGGGACCTTAAAATAATCAAATTTGTCCTTGTTTTTGATGCACACKGTGAATAAGGATTTTTTTAACAGTTATAAAAGTTATCAGAATGAATTTTAGAATCCCTTATGGGGAGATTACACCCATAATTATCATTTATTTAGTGAAATAAATAACATATTTACATAGGCTACATATCAGAGGTTGCCATAGGCTATCTATTATTAAATGAATGGCAAACTGGCATTGCTCATTTTTCAAACATAGTCTTTGTTGTATTCACAAATATTTAAGTATGTTGGGCAGGAATTTTCTCTCCTTAGCTCTGGATGATTTTTTTTTTTTAAGGTAGATAGGATGGAAGCTAAAAATATAATGGAAAAAAAAACAAATTCATTGAATATCTGACCCATTTTTTTTAGAAATCTGTGTGTTTGTATTTAAATAGCATAGATGTAGCAAAGCCATATGATTATACAAATACAATAAAATCAAATTTTAGAAATTAATGACAATTCAGAATATTTAAGTTATTTCTTAAAATTTTGGTGTTTCATTGTACATTGAAGACAATGTTGGATCACTATATAAAGAAAACTGTTAAACATGAAGATATTTCCCAGAACAATAATGCAGTTAGATCTGATAGAGATAACCAAACAAAATGTTTTCATTCATTTTGGGGCCATTTTCACTTTCACAAGACACAATTTTAAAATAGCCACTCTCTATTTGTGAACTCCAAAGTGTGACTCCTTAAATAAATTCTTTAGTAAGCTYCCAATGACATTTTTGGAAGACATCCAGGAAATTAGCATTTATATTTAACCTGATTTAACAAAGATTGATAGGAAGCACATTTATGAACAAAACATGTAATGACTGCATTATTGATGCCTCATGTCTGGAAAAGCAAGAGCTTCCAATCAGACATTGCTTTCCAGATTGTCTTGCACAGAGTTCATTCTCTAATTCTCTATGCCTGAAATTCTCATTTTTTCTCTCTGCAAACTCCTACATAGAAGACAGCAAAATAAATTTTTGCTGCTCTAAGAATTTCATGTTCAAATAGTAATGAAGGCTAAGAAAAGGCTAGAATATGTTTCCAGCAAGGTCACTTTTTGTTTGCTTGTGAACATAATGTCTGGAGGGCATTWCATGGATTTGAAGTAAAAGGTAGTCCCTAGCCTCAAAGAGAAATATTTAAAACCTACCCAACCACATTTGTAGTTGAAAATAGCATTCAAAGGAATTACAATATTTTGAATGTTTATGGACATATAATTTACACATCATTAGGATTTGATAAAGTAATTCTGGCCAGTATATCTCATGGGCCATTTTTTAATTTATAAAAATGTATTTAAAATGAAAGAAAGGAACAAATGTATATTTTATATGACAGTGATTTTTCTCAAAATATAACGTATTTATAGCCCTTCCTAAGGAAATATTGTCAAGTTTAGTCAGTTTTAAATTTGACCTATCTTGACACAATCCCAAGTAATATGATTGTGTTCACCAATATGTGGCATGGTGTGTGTGTGTGTGTGTATGTGTGTGTGTGTACATGTAATTCATAATCAATATGTAGACTTCATGAAGAAAAATGGAAAAAGCATTCACAACTTCAGAAGATAACGGTATTAAAGAGCAAGTATGTCCTATAGAAGCTAACAAATAATAAGAACTAGTTATGAGAATAGCTCAAACTGCAGGATATTTTAAAAGAATGCAATTTTAGAACATTTAGGCACATTCTCAAAATGATTAAATTTATCCCATATCCTTAAAAGTAGCTGTGAATCATACGTTATTATTGTATTAATTATTTCACGGATTTCTAAATATTTTCAAAACCTATTATAATAATGTATTTATGAAATGGTATCCTGATAACAGTAGAACAAAGAAAGACACTCCATCTATGACAAAATTGTCATAAGTTCCAACTGAGTGTGAGATTTTACTGTGTGTGTGTGTGTGTGTGTATGTGTGTTTTCATGTGCATGTGGATCCTGGGAATAAGGAGAAAGTCTGCTATTACATTTCAAAGGGCTCAATGACAATATGGATTGGCATATGTGAAAATAAAAGTATCTACATTTACAAAGGTAAGTCTAAAATTAAAAGTCAGTCACTAAATTGCTCCAGTTTGGAATTGGCATTAAGAGAACTCCTTTAGAAGTTTTAAAGGTACAAGAAATCAGAACTACACAGTCTTCGACATTATTTGCATAAACAGTTCCAAGATGTTACAGAACAAATACTGGAATGTCTCAAAATTTTAACAGAAACCATAATTGCAATGGATATRTAATTTTGGTGAAAGAAAGTTGTTTTATTGTTCTTTCCACTAATGCAGTTGAAAATTTAAATTAACCTCCAGGTTAATCAGTTTTCTAAAAGTAATTATAAAATCCTAAGGCAAAGGATTAGTGAGTCAATACTTAATAGTTTCTGAAGACTCTTAGATTTAAATTAATTTTTTATATCACCGAGGGCACAGCAGGAAATCACATGTAGAAAAGGAAACTAAATTGTTTACAGTAACCTTTGTGTTTTTGAATTATTAATTTAATTTGAAAAATGTAGTGGCTAGGCAGCAGTTCAATAGGAAGCATGTGATACATAATGAGAGTAAGCCAACATTAGATTAAATAGAACAGATAGAAATAACCTCTTCACAAAATGAAAAGTATTTGCATATTCTGCTTTTTTGAATTATGATGAAAGAAATGTAACCACCAACAGTAGAAATAAATTAGAGCAGTTTTTGCTCCGGGTCTAGAATGACCAATGCATGTTTTCTATGCTTGTTTCCTTGTTAAGGCTTATGGCCAGAAGATTCCAGTTTTAAATACCATTTTCCCATTGAATTATTTGAAATTGGAGCTGCCTGATATGAATGACTTCCCTTGAAATGAAATTATAGTTAGGCTCACAGACTTACCTATAAAACTGTAAATGCAGCAATATGTATGCATGGGCATGCTACTAATTTTATTGAAAACTTAACCAAGCTTTCTATGCAACTAATATAGATCATTAGCAGTGTTCACGTAGGCATGGAAAAATGAATCTTTGGAATGAATTACTCTAGTTATGTCTTGGTTTTAACCCTTAAAATATTACTGACTGGTAGAAGTGAAAAGCAAGAGATGGAGGGGCACATAAAAGGGAAATTGGGTCACATTCTTGAAAATTTATTATTGATTTCCTTGAGAAATGAATTTTTTTCACATCAATGTGCCAAAGTTTACATGAAGAAAGCAAATGGGGAAAAAATGTCAATTTGGCAAACTGAATATTGTTCCGAGGCAAAAGAAATTTGTTTGGATTTGAATAATTTATTCTACTATGAATATCTCATGTAACCAAATTAATTCTATACTCCCTAGCTTTTAATTAGTGAAAAATTCAGATGTATTGTCTGAGTACATTGGACCCAAGGCAGAAGAAAATAATATATAGTGCCTCCCATTATCAAATACATAGTACATATGYATTTTTAATTGGGGAAGTTTTATTTCCTTAAGGTGCTGCAAGTTTTAAAGTCTATGTTTTAGATCTAGCCCAAGGGCTTGCAGAATTTTCCAGGGCACAAAAGTTGTGAAAAGTCAGCCTGAGTGCCTGAAGTGCCCCAAGGTATAGCTCTAGATGTGTCTGTTTCCCAAAATGTTAACAACTCCTTCTGCTGG